TATGAACAATGACCATTGACTAGAGAGTATACTACAAAATACTGTTCTTGGTGCATTTTTTGTTTCCTGCACGCTAGAGAATTGTCGTATCTGTCTCTAGATCTGTATTATTGTATTAGTCTCTATTGTCTATTTGCCTCTGGATTTTATTCTTTTTGCTTCTGCCTTACGCTCTTCCTCTGTTTCTCTGTTTTCTTTTTTTTTTTAACTTGCCTCGGTTTATCTGTTTGCCTCTAGTTTCTTGCCCCTGTATCAGTATTTGTGATGTTTTATTGTTTGTCTATTTGCTGACTTTATTTTATTATGTGTTTATTGTTTTTTATCTATAACTCTGCTTCTTCACGTCTGTCTGTTACTGTATTAATTTGTCTTTGTTGCTCTATTTATTATTGTTGTCTCTTCGTCTCGGTTTATCTTTCAGTCTGTTTCTCTAATTCTCTTCTGCGCAAAGAGCCTTTATCTCTTCGTCTCTGGGATCAACGTTAGCTCAGGGGGGTAGCACATTGGAACATGGTGTGAGTTGTCTTAGTTCGAATACCCATCAGTGCATTCTTGAACTAAGGTTGCTTACGGAGTTTCCAAGGATCTCTGCCACCTTTTAAGTCAAGACCTAACGGAGATGGATGTTTTACGTCATGTTTGAGACGTCCTACGTCTTACATAAGCCTATAAGGTTTGAGATTCTGGTTAAATCTTGTTACCTTTATGGTGTTACATTTTACTGCCTGCTTCTCAACCTGTTCGTCTGCTTTGTGGCCTATTCGTTTAAGAGTACCAAGTGAAACACAGGATAAATCCAGTTTTAGACAAAATAGAACCATAAAGAAAGAGACAAAACGATGTGTTAGCATTTAACTTACAATGGCACCTGTTGAATATCCTCTATGAAATAAGCCAAGCAAAAAGCACCCAAACAACTAAATACTTCACAACACAAACTGCATTTCAATAAAAGGCAAATCAAGTTAAGAACAAAGCCCGTCAAAAACAAAATTATGTATGTGAAATGTACTAAGCAAAGTCATGGAAGGATCGATGTGCCAGTTTTTCCCTTAACCACTTCATATTTTGTCTGCCTGTCTGGGTTTTTGTCTTTATTTGTCTGTGCCAAGCAAGTTACTTAAGTGCGTCAGTCTAATCTTGTCTTTACTTCTCTCGTAACCAGTGCCTGCCTATCTGGCAATTTTGAATGTTGGTGGGTGGTGGAGATTACCGGAGATTACCCGGGTGTTACTTTATTATTCATTTTTATATCGCGCCATGGCTATTCCAGGGTGACTGGCGAGATATTAGCCAATGTTTTCTTACATTGATATCAAATTTTAATAATTAATCATTTATTTCAGCTTTGAATCATCAGGACATTT